TTTAAGACGTTGCTCTTGGTCACCTAGAATGATATTTGATAGCGCCTCTAGAATGAATGTTCGGGTGATTTCCAGACGCACACACGATTCATGTTCAGTCTTTGATTGTCTGACCCATGTGTCCTCCAGAATGTAGCCGTTTTCGACCATTAGGTGTGATAAGGGTGCAAATGAGTCGAGCCGAGCCCGAATCTCTGTAGGCTCGAGCTCGAAATATATTGTATTGGTTTGAGGTCGAGCTCGGCTCGAACGACCTTAAAAAATCGGGGCTTGAGCTCGACTCTTAAATATTTAGTTGGCTCAATTCGGCTCGATTCAACCTGATTGGCTCAATATTTTTGGTTTGTCAACTCAAAAGTTACAAGTTCGATTAGCTCGAAAGCACGGACTCGAATTCGAGCTCAGGTATAAAACAATCTTTGAATATTTGTGCTTAACATTTTGCAAATTGGAATTTACATGCCCAACAATTAAAAATAGAGTAAATGTTGTCCAAAATAAATAAAAAATGGTCAAACCTTGACGATTAAACTGAGATTAGAGTTACAGGAACGAAAAACAAACAAAATATAATTCTTACTCCAAGTCTCCACCCAATTGTACTTTCTAATGTAAATCAAAAGTGGTCAAACCGTGAAAAAATAGTGGATGAAACATGATTATTTTTGTTAAACTACTTAATACGAAGTAATTAATAATATCTCCCCGATCCTCATATACATTTACCAATCGATATATATATATATATATTAAGGATCATATAAAAACTCCTCCAAATTTACAAAATACAAACTTATCCTAGTCCTTCATTTTAATTAGATTTCCGTGTGATTGATACTAGATGTAGCAAACATTGAAAAGGAACTTGAGGGGGCTTTAGTCTTTTTTATTTCTTTTATTTTTGGAAAGCAAATCGTGTTGAATATTCCATAATTGTTTCTTGTCCATTATTTCTTCTTCTTCCATCTTCAATGATGATGAAATTTGAACTCATTTCCATCTCCGCTTTGGTTATAACTTCAAATCCATCTTCATCTCTGGCCATCTTCATATCCATCTCCATTTTTATTTCCATCTCCATCTTCATCCCCATGAAATCTTGCACATCGGATTTTTTTCATTCTTTATGAGATTAATCAGATTTAACGCTTTTCATTTGAATACAGGAGTGCACGCCAGAAAAAAACATTATTTTTTCCTTCATGAGATTTATCAGTTTTAACCTTTTGATTGTCCGTCTTCATGACATTCACTAATTTTCATGCATATGCAAAAAAATAAAAATGCTTAAACGCTTCTACCCTAATGTGTATGAAATATTTCTGATGTTCTTATGTTTCTCATGTATTATACATTTTGTAACATCATGAATTTAGTATGCATGTTAGTTGAGTATACAATGCAGATGACATACCGATAAATTTTCAATTTTGCTAATACAACATGCACCTTATATATCACAATAATGCATCGTTATATACTATGAAATGCATAGTCCAATATGCCTTCTCAAAGTGTGTTTTACTATAACACATTCTTCATTATGATTGCACTATATTATCACAATTGAATGCATTATCCAATGCATTTATATGCATACTATTTTCATATGTTCATCAACATGACAGTTGTGTTCAATTTACAATTTTGTTAATACAATATGCACCTTATATATCACAATAATGCATCGTCATATGCTATGAAATGCATAATCCAATATCTCTTCTCAAAGTGTTTTACTATCACCCATTCTTCATTATAGATTGCACTTTCTATCACAATCGATCGAATGCATTTTCCAATGCATTTATATGCATACTATTTCCATATGTTCATCAACATGCCATTTGTGTTCATTTTTCAATTTTGTTAATATAGTATGCACCTTATATATCACAATAATGCATTCTTATATGTTATTAAATGCATAGTCCAATATCTCTTCTAAGTGATATTCAATGTAATTAAGTCTCTTATCACCAACTACTGCACCAAACAAGTACCTACAATGCATATTAATACATATTACAGACATTCACTGATATCATTTATCAAACTAAAGAAAATCCAATCAAAATTACATACAAAATTGAATCTTTTGTTATAAACTATTGCACTGAACTCCCCCTAATAGTGCATATCAGTTACCGTCACTTTGCAACCTGTCCGGTCTCACTTGCTATTTTGATCAAAATCGCATATAAGGGTTTCCCCTCTTCCAAAATTCAATAAAAAATACATTGGAACTCCAATTTTTAATTTAAAATTATTCAACCGAGCTACTATATAATATCAATAAGAAGTCAACTAAAACATACACTCTTATCGTATTAACAAATCCCTTCTAGATCCCTCCAGAATCGCATAATAGAAACTCTGCAACTTTCCTTTTTTTTTTAATTTTTCTAATATTGGGCAGTTAAAATAGTAATGGTAAGATAGCGTAACTCATGAGATTTACTACCATTTACTTTCCGTTTTCCATATGGCCGCCCAATTTATTGAATGTAAAATTACCTTTGTAGGCTTTTTCACTAACGGTTGCATAGTAGTGGGTCAAAAGGTTGTCATTCCATGTTTTTCAACCCACGTACTACTACGGTGGCTGCCATATTGAGAACCCTTGATTTTACAAATCTGGACGGATGGAATTAATTTGCATTTTACACTGGAAGAGTGTTTTGTATGTGACCCCCCGTATATATATATATGAGGGTTCTAGTGAGAACCCTTCACAAAATGAGAACTTCTTATAATGAGAACTTTTAATCTCATCCTTTCATTTATCGCAATCATTGGTGATGATTCACATGAGGTCATATTCATAATCACCCCAAATTCAAATGGGGCCTTTTTGCAATTAATGCTAAATAATTACAAAAATACCACCTTGTCATTATTATCCATTGATTCTATAAATGAATGATGAAGATTAAAAGTTCTCATTTTAAAAAGAGTTCTCATTTTAAGAGGGGTTCTCACTAGAACCCTCATATATATATATATATATAGACACACATACACTAATATATATTATATATTAATTTATATTGTATATTGATATATTATATATATTAATGTAAATATACACACATATAAAACTAGGCTCGCGACCTAGCGAACCTAAAATTAGTAGGCTCTTTTATGACCTGTCTGCTTAACGAGCCGACTCAAGCCCGGCTCAAGCTCGAGTTTGACCGAACCTGATTTGAACTAATTAAATATTAATATTGAGAGTGTGTAATATATCATTATGATTAATAGTATTCATAAAGTATGCAACACCGTAGTGATCAATATTCATAATTAAATGTGCATATGGTAGAGGAGTCTTTAAATATTTTTCAAATCTTTCACTTTTTGTTTTTCACATATTCCAATCCTAATAAATAACATTGAAATGTAATTATATTACTTTTTTAATTCAAATAAATGAATACCTATAATACAACATTTTGCTATAAACACTGGTTAAGGTAAGAAGTGATAGTTTAAATGAACACTAAAATTCAAGATTAATAAAATGTGATGTGTGTATATGTGTGTGTGTGTGTGTATATATATATATATATATATATATATATATATATATATATATATATGTATATATATATAAATTGTGGCTAAAACAAATTATAAAGTTTCGTTAAATATTACAATGTTTATTGCTGTGAGTGAATTTTACACATAGGTTAATTAGATAAGTTTATAAAATTTAATACAACCGTAGTATTAATTTTGAAATCTTATTATCAATTCAAACATTTATTTTCTAGCTTAAAGATATTAACAACCTGTTTGGTAAATAATGTTTTCAATGTATCAAGTTTTATGAGCCATTTTAGATTAATTTATGATATAAAAGCAAGAGATTTTGCATTGTAAAATGTATATGTAAGTGAGTTTTAAGTTATTTTTGTAATTGATCATTACAACTACTTCATCCGTTCCACTAACAATGAAACAAGAGGGAGTGTCACGCAAACTAATAAAAAATAATTTATGTGATTGATATTGAATTGATAAAGTAAAAATAAAGTAAGAATGATTTAGAATCACATAAATTTTACCAAATTTGATATGAGACAATCTTAATAGCATGGATAGAAAAGATAAAATGGAACAATCTTAGTCGGACGCATGAGGTATTTTAATACTAAAGTCGTGTTTACTTCGTTGTTAAAGTCATAGTTAGGTTAGTAAAACAGATGAAGTAAACACACAAACTGCTTAAAAAACTGCTTACTAACCGAAATAGGTGCTTAAAGTGCTGCTTACTAAGCATACCACCACCCATGTATTAATTAAGCGACACTTTAAACTTTTTCAGTTACCGAATTTACCCTTACCCTTACCCCTTGCCCTTACCCTATTGTTACCCGCTTCCCCTCTACCCATCACGCCCCAACCCCTTACCCTACCTTTACCCCTACCACCTGCCCCTACCTCGATCCCACCCCAACCCCCACCACACCCATATGAGTAGGGTGGGGGTTAGGGGGTAGGGTATGGGTATGGTTGTAGGGGAGTAGGAGTAGAGGGTAAGGTCATGGTAGGGGTAGGGGTAGGGTCAAGGTGTGGGGTATGGGTGTATGGTAAGGGTAGGGGTGGGGTACGGGCCTACGGGGTATAGGGTAGGGGTTAGGGGTATAGGTACACGTACGAGGTGAATGTTTGTGTGTCTATATATGTACATGGTTATTTTGAACATTTTGACGTTAAACGATATTTTAAATCCTTAAAATTTTGTTTACAACACTTCTTATTTTATAGATACCTTATTAGTCTTAATAAGCACGGATTAATAATCCATCAAATAAACACCTATTTCAATTAATAACAGCTTTTACTAACCTTCCTGCGTTTTTGTGTTTTCCTTTTTAGCAGTGAAGTAACAGTGTTTGATCCGATCCAATTCATCTGATCTACCATCTCTCACCCACACGGTCGTACGCTATATTGCTCTCTCAGTGTCCATCTCCATTCTTAGGTCCGACGCAGTCTACACCCGGCCGTTCCTCTAACGTCCTGAGGTTAGTCGATTATTGCAATCTGTCTTCTTATTTTATCTCATCTTTTTTTGTTTGTTGCTACATATCTGATTTATCTTATCAGCCGTGAATAGATCAAACTTAGAGAGTTAGAGGGTGTTGTTGAGGTTCGTTCTCTATCTGTTCTTTCATTTAAACGATGAGTAATTTTCTTAATTAAGGAGTTGTAAGGATTTGGATCATCTGCCGCACGGCAGAGGTGCCTTGCGCGATCCAACGGCAATGGCAATACGGGGAGGAGAGATTTCGGCTGCCAAAGTTGGATCTTGTGGCTGTATAGCCACGCACCCTACCTGGCTTCCAAAGCCAGGCAAAGAATCCAGATCCGAGTTGTAATAAGTTGTAATTTAATGACCAACCAATATGCTGGCAGTGTTGCCTTCCTACACGGAGGAGAGCAAAAATTCTGCAGATTAACTGTAAGCGCGTATCAAATCATCCCGTGATGACATCATAGTCAGTCGGGAACAGTTATCCCAGGCAGTCTGGAGCCTTGAATAAAAGCTTAAGTTTCTCTTTGATGTTAAAGGATAGTTATTGAATACTGTTATAAATACCTTTGCAGTGCGGTTTTCAACTTATATTGCAAAGACGGTGAACGAAGTAATATATCAATGCGGTTTTTCTAAATACAACTCTGTTGGCAACTTTTTATAAATAACATCGAAAGCATTCTTGTTTTTTATAGGGGTGATTAGTATCTAGTTGCGGTTGTTGTGATCAAATGTTGGGTGTTCAAAATTAATTTATCATTAAAATATTGGACTAATATTGTTTGATCCAACAATTGAAGATATGTAACTTTTTAACAACAAATTATTACGGAGTAGTAAATAAGGTTAAGCATAAGAAATATTATCTAAAATTTGTAATATACTCCGTATAAATTATTACATCAATTCTAGGGTGTTCACGTGAACCCTTTTGAACAAAGCATCTACTCTACATAGCTATTTGAGCATATATGTATTCTGATATTATACAATAAATTCATATATGTTGATCAGTTCAAAACATGGTGGCTGACAATGTGGACATGGAAGTGGGAACTCTGGATATTGGCATGGGTAATTTCTTTATATATTACATGGACATGGAATGTATGCCTTCTTCAGATGATTTTTTTATACTCTTTATAATTTACCTCTACATGTAGCATGAATTTCTATACTTTCTGGTAGAGATATCTTTGAATTGATTCCGATGGATTCAGAAACTTGTGGCTTTCTTCTGTCGATAATCAACTTTGTAGCTTTGGCTAAAAAATCATACAGTGGGACAAACTTTGTTGTAACTCATAATTTCTTTACTATCCGCTTCCGTTATGTTAGATGATCAGCCAAATATATTTGCAATGATACACAATACAGAATATAGAACTGTTTGAATAACATAGATATCTATCATGTATTTTGTGATTTATAGAGCTGTTCTTATAAAATATTTTGCAATCAATGCAATTTGCAGAATATAGAACAGTTTCAGGAGTTGCCGGCCCATTGGTTATCCTTGATAAAGTGAAGGTGGTTTTGTTGCTTATTTATCATTTTCCCTTTCTCAAACTTTCAAAATGATGATCATTTATGTGTTTTTAGAAATGGAAGTTTTACAAATAAATATATTGCTGCAGGGACCTAAGTATGAAGAGATTGTTAATATTCGTTTAGGAGATGGATCTACTCGACGTGGACAAGTTCTGGAAGTTGATGGAGAGAGAGCTGTTGTTCAGGTTATTTTTTCCTAATAAGCTCTTTGATGGCGTGGTGTTCTCTATGTTCTTTAAAAAAATGGAATATTTTTTCTTTCTAAAACCTAACACGTTTAGTATATTCCATAATGCGACTTAATCCATAATTAACTCAATATGTTCAATATTTTTTTACAATCAGGTTTTTGAGGGAACTTCTGGAATTGACAACAAATTTACAAGAGTGCAGTTTACTGGGGAGGTATTGCTTTGATCTCTCATTATTATATTGTACTACTCCATCTTTTCATGTCAGTTACACGTATAGGATTTTCAAGTTGCAGAGGTAGTAAATGGAGTAGGAAAAATTGAAGAAGTAATAGAGTAGATAAAAAAGTATGAATTTATATGCTGGTAGTTGCTATAAATGGAAAGTGGAGCTAGTAATAATGAATAAACTCTCATCAAAGGAAAATGGAGCAACTAAAAGTGAAGACATGCAGTTTAATTTATTTTTGTTGAATAACAAATCTTTAATATTCTAAGCGGGATGCCCCAACTCAGAGCCAATTTTGTAGCCCTGAAATTGGCTAATTATGCTGAAATTGATGAAGTTCTGGCTGAAGCAGTCGAATAGGTTGAATCTATTGAATTATGAAAAATGGATATTTAAAATATATTTATTAATAAAATAAATGAAAAAGTAGCTAAAATGATCGTCTACGGTAACTTCAGCCAATTCAGCCAGAAAAGTAACTACAACCTTACTTATTTTGATAATTACACAATCCAGCGTGCTAAATAAAAAATTGCGTGTGATGAAAAAGTTGGCCGATAAGCCGAAAACAGGGGTCATCAAACAAACGAACTATTAATGCTCATTTCTAATTTTTTATCCCTATTAGAAAACCCTCTCTTACAAGTTACGTTCTATTACCCTTGTAGCTCTTTTTCTTTTGTATTATGTAAACCCGACCCTTCGCTATAGGTTTTACAAACTCCTGTCTCTTTGGACATGCTTGGTCGCATTTTTAATGGTTCCGGTAAACCAATTGACAATGGTCCTCCTATCCTTCCCGAGGCTTACAGGGATATTTCTGGTAAATATTTTCTTTTCAGAATATCTTTATGTTGTGTGTATTTATATATATGAAGGAGGGTCATGTGTGTTTGTGTACTCACATTTTATTTTTGTCTTCAGGGAGTTCGATAAATCCTAGCGAGAGAACCTATCCTGAAGAAATGATTCAAACAGGAATTTCAACGATAGATGTCATGAACTCTATTGCCAGAGGACAGAAAATCCCTCTCTTTTCTGCAGCCGGTCTTCCTCATAATGAAATTGCTGCGCAGATTTGTCGCCAGGCTGGTTTGGTAAAGCGGCTTGAGAAGTCTGATAATCTACTTGAAGTAAGTTGTTTTATTTGACAAGATTTTTCACTCACATACAATATAGATACACACACGTGTGTGTTTGTATGTGACTGTGACTGTTTACACTTTACACACAAGCACGTGCATATGTATCATATCATGATTTTGGTATTAGGTTAATTCTTATCTTGCTTGCTCATAATATCAGCAGGGTGATGATGAAGATGATTTTGCCATTGTCTTTGCTGCTATGGGAGTTAACATGGAGACAGCTCAGTTTTTTAAACGTGATTTTGAAGAAAATGGATCAATGGAGAGAGTGACCCTTTTCTTGAATTTGGTAATTTCTCAAAAGCATTACTATACCCATTTTGATGTTTAGAGCCCTGTTTGCTAGAGCTTAAAATGGCCAGAGTTGACTCTGGCAAGATTACTGAAATGACGGAATTGGTTGGATTTGCTCAATCATCTCAAGCAATATATCTAAGTAAATTATCATTTTTCTGCGATTTCGGCCAAAATATGACATATGTACCGAGTGCAGCGAAATAAGTTATTGGTTAGTGAAAAGTTGTCTGATAATCACAGAAAACCAATGTGATCAACAATGCACTTAAAATTATTTGGTCTTCAAGGTGAAATGACGCATTTACATATATACTTTCTTCTTGCAGGCCAATGATCCAACTATTGAACGTATCATTACTCCTAAGATTGCTCTTACAACTGCAGAGTACTTGGCATATGAGTGTGGGAAGCATGTTCTTGTGATATTGACAGATATGAGTTCATATGCCGATGCTCTTCGTGAGGTACTTTCTAATGAAAATGAAGTTATTAGTTCCTTGTATACCAGCTCCAGTTTTTTTATGAGGGTGCACGACTTTTAAGTGTCCACCTAAATCCATTAGTATGAATCCTATTCCTGTATGAAGCAAAATGGACAATATCATTCGAATGCATTGTTGATTTGACTCATTAGCTTTAAACATTTTCACATTATTAATACATAGCACTGTGGCAACTATTCCACTTCACAGGTATCTGCTGCTCGAGAAGAAGTGCCCGGAAGGCGCGGATATCCCGGTTATATGTATACTGATCTGGCGAGAATCTATGAGCGAGCTGGTAGAATTGAAGGAAGAAAAGGCTCCATCACGCAGATTCCTATTCTGACTATGCCTAATGATGGTATCATTCTGCTACTTAAACGTCATGATTAGTCCCCAGCTTTGTGGCCAGTTTATTTTTCGTGTGAATCAGCATTCCATTTTTTGGACAGATATTACCCATCCCACTCCTGATTTGACGGGTTATATCACTGAAGGGCAAATATATATTGATAGACAACTTCAAAACCGGCAGGTAACACCAATTTTTTTACACCGTACATTATTAGTGCATTACTTTTTTATAAGGGTAAACATTAAAACTTAATAGTGGGAAATGCCTCAAACTTCTTAATAACTGTGGAACAGTTTTCATTCATTCATTTAATTTAGTGACCCCAAACTCTTTTGGCATTAAGGCTCGAATGTTATTGAATTCATTCATTTAATTATTGGAACAGATATACCCACCAATCAATGTGCTTCCATCTTTGTCTCGTTTAATGAAGGTAAGTGCATAGTTATGCTTTGTGTTCTGTAATTGAATTAGAGCCGTGAAAGCGAAGTTTAATAATACTGGTGTTCTTGCAGAGTGCTATTGGGGAGGGTATGACTCGAAGGGACCATTCTGATGTTTCAAACCAGGTAAAAGATTTAGTTATAGCAGTGGAAGACCAAAATTGAAGTCTTTTCTTTTGTTCAGTATGTGTAAGCGTTGTTTTTTTCCCCAGCTGTATGCAAACTATGCCATTGGGAAGGATGTGCAAGCAATGAAAGCTGTGGTTGGAGAGGAAGCTCTTTCTTCTGAAGACCTGGTATGCTAATACTTTTAACAAAACCCTATATTTATAACCATTTTACTGTTATTATTAGAGATGATGAAGCTGATAGAGGTTTTAAATAATCTTTGTTACAAACAGCTATACCTTGAATTTCTTGACAAATTTGAGAGGAAGTTTGTGGCCCAAGGAGCATATGACACTCGCAACATCTTCCAGTCACTGGATTTGGCATGGACGCTTCTCCGAATCTTCCCCCGTGAACTTCTACACCGTATCCCAGGGAAGACCCTTGATCAGTTTTACAGCAGGGATGCAACTAGTTGAGATGTGCGAGAAGCTCTACATGCTGGTATGAGTGGGCTTGATGATGATGATTGCATAATATGTTTGTTTTATAACGATGCCACTTCATCTCACTAGGTCCCATACCTCAACCTCCTAGTTTTCAGCATAATCATCCAAGAATAAACATCCAAAAACCGCACTATCTCCGGGGTTTAAGTGATTCTTTCAATGCTCTGTTGTTTGTTTTGTGTTTTATTTCCCCTCTTAGTTTGTGAGTTGTGACATGTCAGGTTTTCCGTATGTAATACAGTATTTCTTAAGGAGGGACATGTGAACAAGAGAGCTGCTCTTTGTTTGGCGTATTTTTGTAATTATTTTGACAACAATTTCTTCTTCAGATTTGTAATAAATGACGCTCCTAGAAACACCTTCATTTGAGCACAATATTTTTTACTTTGAAGTGGTTTTTAGCTTTTAGCTTTAGGGATTCTGTTATTTTTTTTATTTTTATTTTTCTTATAGCAGCGGGTAAATGAAAATGAAAATGATTTTTCTTATAGCAACACATGAGGGAGGGCTCATGAAATTGAAAACTGAATAGATAAAACTGAACTGCTAACAAAATTAAAGAACGCTAAAAACTGAAACGGAACCCAACAAGTTGAAACTACAGTTGTTTGAGTCGTTTGACACTTTCAGTCCACAAAATATGCTATTTTGTTTATTTATCATTAAGTAGCCCGGTAGCCCCAAATCCCCCAATAGCTATCTTAATTTGTCCATCATTTTCCATTTTTAGGACGTTAAGGGTAGTGATGGACCCGGGCCGATTCCGGTTCCGGGCAGGGCCCGGGCGGGTTTTTTTTGGCAAATCGTTGGGCCCGGAACCGGCTCAAGTTGATACCGGGTCCGGGCCTAACTGGGCTGGGCCGGGCCCAGTTCAATTTTTTTTTTTGCTTTCTTGTTATCCCCCGACCCCCCCTCACCCCACCTCCCAAACCTCCCCAAAACACCCAGTCCTACCCTAGAAAAAGAAAAAATCTTGAAAAAACTAAAAAAAAAAAATTGACCCGGGCCCGGCCCGAACTGCCCGAACCGCCCGGGCCGGTTCGCCCAAAACTGGGCCCGAGCCTGGCCAGTCCGACCTGCCCAAACGGGCTAAAAGCCCGGAACTGGCCAACCGGTCCCGGTCCGGTCCGGGCCCGCACAATAGCGGGCCGAGCCGGTCCGGCCCGGTTTAGTCCATCCCTAGTTAAGGGTATGTTTGACAGTTTGGAGGGGAAGGGAGGTGAGTGGAAGACTATGAAGGTATGTTGTTGGAGGGGAAAAGGAGGGGAGGGTGAAAAAACCCTTCTTTGTATTGGGAGTAATAAAATTAGAAGAAGATTTTTGAAGGAATTATAATTAAAATCACTTCGAGATATGACGAATTCAAATCATTGAGTTGATATTCATTTTTAATTTACCTTAAATTAGCTTCTTGTTAATTATCCTCCAAAACCCTCCAAATCGGAGGAACTTAAAAATTAAGCATTTGGAGGGTTTTGAAGGATTACAAAAGCCCTCCAAAACCATCTCCTCTAATTTTTGAAACTCCCAAACATAAAAACTAGGTATATAAACGCACAGTGACCTTCCTCTCCACTCCAAAATTCATCTCTCAAACACACCCTAAGGTGTGGTATCAGATTTATTATAGTACTTTTTTTTGCTTAGGATATTAAATTGTTCTATTTATTGTTTAATTTAGTCCCTGGGAAAAGGGCCAAAATGGACACTGAGGTTTTTAATGAAGAGCGTATTGGACATTAAGGTTTTTTTGAGATCAAATAAACATCAAATTAAACTTTTCAGACCTCATCGCCCACCCCCTAACATTTCCCGTTAACAACTTCTCTTTCCCGTTATCATCATGCGATTAGAATCTCCCAAATTGAAATTTCTAACCCTAACTCACTTCCATGGCTAATAAGTGTGAGATTGTGCGAGTGAGTTGAGAAGATTAGAAGGTGTTCAACTGCACGACCAAGGTTACAATACGTACGACTAATCTGAGGTAATCTTTGAGTGTTGTTTTTGTTTGTTACAATGAATGGGTTGGTTAATCTCAGATTTAACCATAGCGGGAGGTGGGTTATGAAACCAAAGTTACAGTATGTGAATGGGGACGCTGATACAGTTTATGGGTTTGACCCTGATTATATGTGTTATCATGACATTTCAAGAAAATACAAGGATGACTTGGGGTTTAAAACACTGAAAAATATATATGTTTTAGAACCTGGAAAGGATTTGGACAATGGACTTTTCTTAGTTCAGGATGATGACACTATAAGGAAAGTGTTAAATCGTATAAGGAGATTTTCTTGGATTGATACTATAGAGCTATATGCTGACCATCAACTGGACGAACCCATTTTGATTCCCCTGATAGAAGGTTCATTTTCTGAAATTGGTAACCATGACATTGGTGATGAGAATGATGGTGGGGTGGGTGATGAGTCTGCCAATACAGATTGGAGAGACCAAAGTGATGAAGTGAATACAAGTGGTGTCCCAAATGGGTATGTTACAGATGAAGAATCAAATAGAGGCTCAGAAGATGAAGAGAGCAACAATTCTGATCCATCCTCTGATAATGATGGTACAATAAATTACAATGCAACAGATGGGTCAGATTGTTTTATGAATGGAATGACCTTTGCAGATGCTGAAGAGGCTAGGACTGCAATTGCTAATTATGGTGTGAAATACGGTTACAAGCTGAAAATCAAACCAAATGAGAAGAATAGACTGGCTGTTAAATGTTTGAATGAGGAAGACTGCCCATTTAGATTATGGATTTCTCAAGATGGGAAGAACTATGGGTTGGCAGTGAAGATTTGTAACACTGAGCACAAGTGTTTCCGACACTATTCTATTCCTAGTGCTACTCAAAAGTGGCTTGCAACTTACTTTAAAGGGCACCTGGAGAGAAATCCTAGCTTTCGAGTTGCTGACATGAAAGAAGAGGCATAGAAAAAGTTGAAGATAAATGTTAGCTTGTATAAATGTAAAAGGGCTAAAAGGTTGATTATTCAAGAAATGGATGGTAGTTATAAGGCTGAGTTTGGGTACCTAGAAGCATATGCTGCCACATTAAAGAGGAGTAATCCAGGTTCAAAAGCTGAAATTGAACTCTGCAGTGAAGCATTGAAAGAAGGGAGGAGAGTATTCAAGAGAATGTTTGTATGCTTTGAGACAGAACTGGCTGGCTGACTGTAGAAGAATCATTGGTGTGGATGGTTGCTTTCTAAAGGGTGTTTGTAAGGGTAAACTGCTGAGTGCAGTGGGGTTGGATGGAAATGGGCAAATGGTCCCTATAGCATGGGGTGTCATTGATAAAGAAAATAAGTCTAATTGGAGGTGGTTTTTGAGTTGGCTTGTTCAGGAGCTACACCTGAATACTGGTGGTGAGTTAACACTTATTTCTGATATGCAAAAGGGGCTGATTAGTGCTGCTCAAGAGGTCATTCCAGATGTAGAGCATAGGTTCTGTGCCCGACATGTGTATGCTAATTGGTCAAAAAAATGGAGAGGCAATGAGTTTTGCAAAAAGTTTTGGATATGTTCCTGGAGCACATATGAAGAAGAGCTGCAGCTGAATCTTAAAAAGCTTGGAAAATTGAGCACTGAAGCTGCTTCTGACCTTTTGAAGTATCCAGTTCAAACTTGGTGTAGAGCATACTTCTGGCACTATAAGAAACTGACTGCAATTATGGGGTGCTAAATTAGGGCTCATAATGCTTTTTTTGTATTTTGTAACCTCATTAACAATCAGTATTATGATCCCTAATGATGTGAAGTTATGATATAAGTTCTTTTTTGTTTATATATGTTGTTTATTCAACCAGACCATGTTGGCATGAGGGCTTTCTTCTACAGATTGTATTGTGGTTATGGTATTGGCTCTGATTTCAAACTGCTCTCAAACTGGTGTTATCAGTACACGACTTCATTTGTGGTGTTATCGGTACACTGTTCTCAAACATAGTAATACAACCAGACCAACTTATTAAAAAATTCTAACAACAAATTGTATTTTCATATTAAAAACCAAACCAAAGTGTTAACTTAAATTCAAATTCTAACAGCAACATGTATTCAAACTGTTTACAAGGTCATAACCAAATCATTTTACAAGAAACTGAAACTAACATACTAACACACATAATACTACAATAAGGACACATAACAACACTACAATAACATAATTATTCTTCATTTTAGTTTTGCTTTCCAATTCCAGATGGGCTGCATCATTCATACTGTTGACTTCTTCAAGTTCACTCTCCAACTTTTGAGCAACACTATCACATTCGAATTCAAACATTGCAGATTGGAGCCTCCTATTCTCCCGTTTCAGCTCATTGATAACATGCATTGCTCTGTCCGTTAATGGCTCATCATGCCATTCAAAGAAGCCACATCCATCCTTCTGAGTATACACAAGAGTATGAATATCAATATGAATATAAATAAATTATACATATTCATGATCTTCTCCAGTTCTCATATGTGAAAAGAACAATTAAAAGCATACCTCATAATTAGGACATCCATGAAATCTTCTCCCTGGATTCTTGTCAGTCCATGAAGTCCAAAGTGGCGCCTTGACGCGAGTTCCATTTGCATTCATGCATCTGCAAAACCTAGAACGCCCAGAATACGGTCGCTCATAGATGCTTCGAAGCTTCACTGAATCACCGGACTCAGGTTTCCGTGCCTCAGACGACCTCGATGCTGAAGGACTAGCCGACATCACTGCTTTCTTCTTCATAATCTGTCTGAGATTGTATTTATTAGGTATATATCAATTAGGTCTAATCGCAGGGTGATAACGGGGAAGAGAAGCTGTTAACGAGAAATGTTAGGGGGTGGGCGATGAGGTCTGAAAAGTTTAATTTGATGTTTATTTGATCTCAAAAAAACCTTAATGTCCAATACGCTCTTCATTAAAAACTTCAGTGTCCATTTTGACCCATTTCCCTTTAGTCCCTTGCAAGTCGCAACAGTGCTAAATATATTGGAGAAAAAGTACATATTTATCCAAAATATACCTCAGAGAACATACATGTAATCTTTTTTTACATATATAAGTATATAAACTACTACGCATATAAGCAGAATTTTGTTAAAAAATGAAAAGTAACCAACTCAAGATACAAAAAAAGATGTTTGGGAGTTTGGAGGGAATGAGAGAGGAAAGTTTTGGAAGTATGTTATTGAAGGGGAAGGTGAGAGAACTCTTCTTTATATTTGAGAGTAATAAATTTGAAGGAAGAAAGTTTTTGAATGAATTATAAGTAAAATCACTTTGATACGTAGTGTATGACAGATTTAAATATTTGAACTCACATTCATTTTTAATTAAGCTTACATTATCATTATTATTTCATTAATTATTCTTCAAAACCCTCCAAATTGGGGAAATTTAAAAAGTAAGCATTTAGAGGGTTTTGAAGGATTAAGAAAGACTCCAAAACCACTCCTTTAATTTTTTAAACTCCTAAACATGAAAATGAAGGTCATAAAAGTCTTTTGGCCTGAATATTACTAAAAATAAAATAAAAGACAAAAATGTGATATGTTTTTAAAAATTCCAAAAAATTTGACCAACATCTCGATTAACTCATGCAATGAAAAGTGACTCCGGACAAAATAACTTCGATCAAAGTGACTCCGTCACCACAGTGACTATCGGCCAAAGTGATTACACTACCGCCCACAGTAACCGCTTGACCAAAGTGACGCTGGCACAATAACTCAGACATAGTGTCTGCCGCCAACACCGCCACACCCAGTGACTGTCGCCGTTGTCACGATCAGTGACTGCTGCAACTCCAGTCGGTGATTGCCGTCCCCGCAAGTAACTGCCACCCCCATTACACTAGATAATTTGTGGCGGCCATCTAGCCGGCACCGCCGGCCAACTGCAGTTTCCATAGACTATCCAATGCCCCTGCCCCTCCGGCCTCCCTACCCTGCAATTTATCCCAACCGCTCAACACCATCACCCACCAACATTCATCCCCAACCAGCCCTAATCGTCACTCCACTAACCTCCAGCCCGTCACCACCAGCCAAAAGATCTCAACCCCAGCCCATCACCGTTGTAACCCTAGCCGCCATTCACCACCATCGTAACTCTGGCCGCCGCGCCTTTCACCTCAGATCTGAAAAAAACGAAGAAAAAGAATACATGCGGGCGACGATGCCAGGATGTGTGTGGGGGTGACAGCCTGTGTGAGGCGATTGGTTCCCAGCGACGACTCTCCTCTTTCCAAATTGACTTTTACGATCAACTTTGACTAATGATATTGTTAAAAACAAAATTATTTTTAATATAAAAATTATATCAAAATATTTATTATTCAAAATATTTTCATAAAAGTATAAAACTTATAAATTATATGCAAATATAATAATGAAAATCATTGTCCAAAGTTTATCATCGTTGATCAAGAAAGTCAATATGACAAACATTTTCGAGACGAAGGTAGTATGCCTTTTTGCATTGAGAAATACATAGGCGGAAATACATAGCGGGAAACTCTCCCATTAAAATTCTTTTACTTCTAGATATTAAGAGATAAAACATATTTAAAATAATATAACACCAAAATAATTCAACAGTTTCAATCAAGATTTTAGAACTTCCACTTGATATTGTTAGCCGCGGGATATGATATCATCTATCCACTTTACATCCCAAAAGTATAGATTACAACGACACAAGTTGCCAAGTTGGGTGAGAAAATGTAATGCAACCCGCTTTAATTCATAGAACCATCGATCAATCAACATGTACAATAATGTCATTTATTTTATGCATTGTTTCTCGATCAGGTAAAACATAAATATACTCATACATATGTTGGTTGGTATTGAGGAGGATTAATATATAAGCTGTGATGAGAGTAGAAGCCTGGAGAAAAGATAAAAGCGGTTGGCTTTCTTTCATTAGAATGAAGGAAACTTAATGGTGGAAGCGCAACTTCCACGGGGAAAAACAGGGCATTTGATGAGAGTAGACGCCGAGGAATCGGCACAGACGTAAACCTGATACAATTGCCTTTCACCGTCTGCGTCGCTGTTGCATTCTATCCAGGCATCATATCCAATCCCGTCCCGGATTGCTTGTTTAATATCGGCCAAGCTATATGAACTTCCATCCGGTTGAATTCCTGCACATTTGGTGCGGTTAGAACCCCCAAATAAAATAAAGGACGACACCTCATTCCCGAGGCCGCACAGTTAATTGAAATAATGTAAATTGGATTAATCACAAAATGACATAAAACGAGTAGGGCTCTAGCTAGGTACTTGCAATTATCGGGATTTGAATCCGAGACTTATCTACCAGTTGAGCTATGCCCATCGGCAACCCCAAATATTTAAATTTGTAATGAGTTAGAAAAACAATTTAATGGGGGTTGGAACTGATTCTGCTTCTGTTTCTTTTTTAAAGCAGAAACATAATTAAAATCACTTTTCAGAAGCGGGTCTCTCTCAGCTTCTAAAAAACGGCTTCTAGGAGTATATTAGAGCACCAGAATTACTTCTGCAGTTTTTACTCCAATTGCTTTAGAGAATATTGCTCTTTAAATCATGTGGATATACAATTTCATTGATAAGACTTGTTTATTGAAACAAAAACAGACTTAATCATTAAGTTGTGATATACTCCGCAATACTCACTCATAATAAAACGCCTATCAAGATCTTACGCGTTGTTAAGTTCAATCAGTTTCTTGAGCCCATTATAGAATGGAGTCTTTTCTTAAATACTTCTGATATCAAAATTTGGTTAATACCTGCACTCTGAAGAACCTGGAGCAAATCAATCTGATTCTTGAGGTTCAAAGTGGTCTGGAAGTAGGAGCGTTGGGTGAGGACGGACTCAGAACATGTACCATGTTTTTCCCATTCGTGTGACCAGAATGTTGAGCCGCTATTACTTGGACAAGCCAGTGTTGGCCACTCTCGATGCATCCTGCTCATTAAGTCTGAAATCTACAGAGGCGAAAAATGAGATTATTCAAGATGTTGATGTATTTCTCCCATCGGTATAATATAAGTTGAACTCCTCACTAACATTGGAACATGAATAGATATTTTGATTATTAAGAAAAGTGAGTTTATATGATTCATATTGAATTGATAAAGTAGAAATGAAGTAAGAATGATTTAAAACCATTCAAATCTTATCAAATTTAATCTTAAACTACTCATCCTATCAGGTTATGGCCTGGTTTATATACACACAACTTCATTATCGTCTGGAATGGACATTGTTGCTAGCTAGCTATTGGATCTTTGAATGAATTGAACCTTGGAATCATCGTAGGGATTGGTAGAGTCGCAGTTTGATGGGTAAGAACCATCGTTCATGTTAGGCCAAAGCCCATGAATGCCAAAGTCTGATTTTGGCTTCCCTGTGGTTGGGTAGCAACAGCTTTGTTTGGTGTCACAATATGATCCTGGCCACTTCACGAGCAAAAACAAAAAATAAAATTAGTAGTAATAATATAATGATTATTTAAAACAATATAACACCACTTGTTAACTAAGCGTATAAATTAAACAAGCACAACAAGTGATTAATAGATTATTGTCTAGATTATACTCCATATTAGATTACTTGGAGAACGAAACACAATGGAGTTGGAATTAGGAGATATATATATATATACTCCGTAATTCGGTAAAAGATCTTGATAGGCGTTGAACTAAGTAGAAGAAATCTTACGATTTCTTCTACTTCTGATATCAAAATTTGGTTAATACCTAAAAGAAAAAAGTAATAAAGAATAATATAACGAAGAAGTGAATACCTGTTGAACGAAGTAGAAGAAATCGTAAGATTGAGCGTTAATAATACGTAGAAACGAGAAAGAGTACGTGATTAACAACAGCTCTATGAGCTTATTGGAAGTGTGAGAGTTCATGGTATATGATTGAGTTGAATTGGTATTTGTTACGTAGAAGGAATGAATCATTTGAATCAATATATAAACACATTTCTAATGTTCTATAAATGGCCGGAATAATATAATGACGGAAGAATGACGGAAGATGTGAACAGACAAAGTATGAAATCGAAGTTTGATTTTATTTCTTTCTTAATTGGTTTCAATTCTCAGTACCGTGTCCCGTTAATTTAGTACTACTGTTATGGTGTGCACAATAATTGCGTATTATTATTATCATCATCAATCATCAACCTGTATGTAACTCCAAAAGTGGTAACGTACAAGCTTTGTCTTGTTCCGTCGACAATGGCCGAAGTGGATTTGGTCTTTGCTTCATCTATTGCTTTAATTACCTGTTGATGTCTTTCACTATCCGCAAAACAGTGAATTTGGGACTATCATCGATCGTAAAGACTTGACTGAATTAATTACTCGAGGGTGATTCCGTGGATATGTGAATCATTCAATGCTTTGTACTCTAAGTATTATAAATAAATATAAAAATATTTAAATTAAAGTTCATGAAATGATTGAACTTCACAATTGTATAATGATAGATGCTATATTATGTTTATTATAGGTGTGCCTTAGCTAAATTGAATGATTTGCAACGTGATGACGTTGTGTTTTTGTGCCCTTTATTGTGCTCTTATGGTTCTTATCAAGTTCACAAGAAGGGCACAATAACATATATGAAAGATTCTTTGTGTGCGACATTTGGAAAAAGAATGATCTGGCTTCCATATAATGAAGGGTAAATAATTTTATTTTATATTATGCATCTGTTTATGTAAATTTAATTTTTTAATTAATTATGTTTTTTATATTTAGATTTCATTGGATTTTGATAGTCATTTGCTCCTCGGTTAATAAAGGCTATATCTTCAATTCAATCTCAAGCTTGTCTAATATCAGGATTCGGAAAGATTTAGCATTGTAAGTATTCTTTTAATATTTTATATTTATTTAATTGCTATAGATTATTATTCTTATTATTATTATTATTATTATTATTTATATGATATAACATAAATTTTTTAATATAGAACATACAGAGTTGCTTCCGCAAGAAATGGTGATGGAAAGCCAATCACATGGCATAATGTTAAGGTATATATAATTACATAAATAATTGTATTTAAATTATTATTAAATTCATCAATAACTTATTTCAATCACCATTAACTTTGATACATATATTTTGTAAATTTGTATTTCAAAAAAGTGTGCAAGACAAAACGGAAACACAGAGTGCGGATATTATACCATGTGATACATATAGGAAGTGATTTCGTATGTTGATAGCTTTGATATTGGAAAGGTATATCATTATTTATTCTTATTTATTAACTTCATTTAATTTTTACTAATTTAAAAGTTGTAATATTTTTTATTTATGTTTTATTTTATCTAAATATTTGTAGAATTGATATTCAAGAACTGAGCCATATTCTGAAGATTAGTTTAATAACATTCTCAATATATTGGCACGGTTTTTCTTGGATGTACTCTTAAATATGACAAAGTTGTTTACATTGATTATGTATGTCGGAGTTTTTATATTAGCAATTAAGACATGTTTATGTTGGTTATGTATTGTGTTAGGAGTTTTTTAGAATCAGTTTTATGAAGATTTTTGTAATCTATGTTAGTTACTTGTTTACACTTTGCTGATTTTGTAATTTGTGTAAGTTCATGTTGTTGATATTGTGATGATTTTAAAAAGTTTACACTTTTGGTATATTATTGTTAAATTTTGTTCCAGGACTTTTGAATGATCCAAAATACAAATGAAATTTAAAAAAAATAATGAAGGCTTGCGACGCTTATTTATATAAGGCGCCGCCAAATGTTATAAAAAGTAATTAATTTAATTTATTAACAACAAGATCTGCGGCGCTTATATTAAGAAAGGCGCCGCAAGGTTACGTCGAAAAAAAAATATAAGAAAATATTTGCGGCGCGTATACGCTAAAAAGTGCCGCACACATATTAAATATATATTTTTTAAAAAAGAATATTGGCGGCGCTTTTTTGAAATTAAGCGCCGCGCGGGTTAAATTGCGGCACCGAGATTTGCGGCGCCTAAAAGCGCCGCACGTGAGGTGATTTAAGCGCCGCAAAAAGGTAATTTTGCACCAGTGTTCCCATTGGTTACCGTGGAAAGGTGAGTTTTTTCCAAACCCGAATGGTAGAAACAGTCTATGGGCATGTTTTACACAACTAGATGAAAAAACATTTTTATAGACTTTTTAGTAACGGTTAATCTTTGGTGGCTGAATAAAAATTAAAAGTAAGAGGCGGTAGCTGTTTGATAAAAAATTACCTGTTTAGTTTAGTTAGGTTTGATATACAAGCTATTGGGACTTTATTCCAAACCTAAATGGTAAAAACACTATGGGTATGTTTTGCATGTACAACTAGCTGAAAAGATATTATATAAACTTTTTAGTAACTGTTAACTTTTAATGACTAAAAAAATTTAAAGTAAAAGACGATAGCTGTTTGATAAAAAACTGGATGTTTGATTTAGTTCTGCCTGGTAGACTTTTTAGTAATTAGTTGAAAAGATACTTTAATTTCATATGCTTTTTAGTAACTCTTAGATTTTAGTGAATTAAAAAACCCGAAAAGGAAAAGGTTGTAACTATTTGATAAAAATGTGATTATTTGAGTTAGTTCTATTTGATATATATAACAAGATGTTGTGACTAACTAATGCTAAAAGCTACAGACTTTCTTGATCCCATATGCTACATGTGTGACCATGTTAATTCTGTTCGAAATACCTTGACTGAGCATGAATGGTTAATTGATTCTGGTTGTACCTATCATATGACTCCTTTTAGGGATTTGTTTTCAAAATATGAGAAATGTGATATGGGTTATGTTTCCTTGGCTGATAATAAGAGATGCAATGTTTTGGGTGTTAGTGATATATGTCTCAAGTTTTCTTGTGGCTTTGTGTTTACTCTTAAGAATGTGAGGCATGTCCCTAATTTGTGTCACAACTTGTTATCTGTTGCTGCCTTGGAGTGTAGTGGATTAGAGGGAAAGTGGGGGAATGGTTGTATGAAAATTTTGAAAAATTCTCTGGTGTTGTTTAAAGCTGAGAAGGTGAACAACCTTTATGTGTGTCATGCTAAACCTTATATTGACTCTGTGAATGCTGTGAATGTTGTGCATACTGATAAAACCTTATTGTGGCATAATAGACTAGGGCATATGAGTAATAAAGGTTTAGGGATCATGCATAAACATGGTTACTTTGGTAAAGACTCTGTGAACTCTTTGACTTTCTGTGAATCATGTGTGCTTGGTAAACAACATAGAGTCTAGTTCCCTCTATCCTCTTATCCTAATATGACAAAGGGCTCCTCTGTGCTTGAATATGTGCATACTGATGTTTGGGGTTCTGCCAGTGTTCCCACACATGGGGGAAATGGTATTTCTTGTCCTTAATTGATGATTTCTCTAGGAAAGTGTGGGTCTATCTTCTAGAACATAAGTCTGATGTTTGTGAGAAGTTTAAGGCCTGGAAGTTACTTGTAGAAAATCAAACTGGACAGAATGTTAAGACCCTTAGGACTGATAATGGCCTAGAGTTCTGTAACCAAGAGCTTGACCAACTGTGTGCCACTTCAGACATTAGGAGACATAAGACTGTGCCCTACACCCCCAACAGAATGGGGTGGTTGAAAGGATGAATAGAACCCTTCTTGACAAGGTTAGAAGCATGTTGTCTACCTCAGGTTTACCTAAGAAGTTTTGGGGTGAAGCAGTCACCACTGCCACCTATCTGATTAATAGATCTCCCTCTGTTCCCATAGGGGGTCAATGCTCTGAAGTTAAGTTTACTGGTGGGCCTCTTGACCTAACAAACCTTAGGGTCTTTGGGTGTGCTGCCTATGTTCATCAGAAAACTGATAAGTTAGATCCTAGATCCAGAAAGTGTGTTTTCTTGGGTTATCCTGATGAGGTAAAGGGATATAGGTTGTGGGATAGAAATGTGCCTGGTTTTAAGGTGGTTATAAGTAGGGATGTAATTTTCAATGAGTTTGATTTCCCTTGCTTGCTTAAACCTGTTTCTGAGCATGAACCTGAGAGGACACCTGTTGAGGTGGAGCCTCAGGCCCCTTCTGTACCTACTATTCCTTATGTTATGTATGACACTCCTCCTGTTGTACCTGTCATCCCTTCTGATGTGCATGTTAATACTTCTACTGATACTGCTACCTCCGGTGAGGTGGAGTTCAATACTCAAGATGACCATGTGCATACTCAAGGGTTACTCTAGAATACAGTAAAAATTGAAATTAGAAGGTTTACAAGTAACATTGCAACTAGAGTTGGGGAAAACTACACCAGCATTGGGGCGAACACAATATTTCTTGGGGTTAGTGGTTTTAACCTGTTTCACATGATAAATCACTTAGCCATAAAAACCATTGTCTACTCCAAGCCCCCTAAACCGATTACCCAATCAAACTCCCAAAAATTCATTTAAGAAGCTTTCTCCAATCTCCACACGATTAAGCAAAGGTTTCGCCAAGCCCCCCAAACCGATTAGACCTCCATTTATATTTAGAAGTATAAAACTATATTAATCACTATACTCAGTTTAGTATGTGAAACTGAGTATCAAACTAGTTAATAATTATCTAGAACATCAATTTGTGTATAAAACTAGTTGAATAAAACTAGTTAGAGTCGAACTGATCCTCGAACTAGTTAATATCTATAGTGATGTATAAAACTAGTTAGAAGTATAAAACTTTATTAATCACTATACTCTTTTGACGGCCATGATCAGGTGCCAGAACGATGCTCTGATACCAATGTTAGGTACCTTGCTAAGTCACATTAAATTCAAGAAGCAAGATGAAGAATAGAGATGTGCGTACAACTGAAAGGATTCGTATTACACAAAATAGAGAAAACAATTCCAACCTTCGCTTTATTTTTGAGCAAGCATGCTGCGTCTATCTAAACACATTATATGTAGTTATCAGTGTGAAAAAGAAGGCAGCTAATTACGGATTATCTTTTAGGCTATGGTGGTAGTCAATGCATATTCGATCGGTACAAAGCCAATCAAAGTATTTAATTAGCTAAGATCCTATCGATCAGTTTACGTCATGTTGCATGCCCTTATAGATCCGAGCTAATCGATTGCGCATGATGCGGATTCGATTTCGCCGCCTTAACCCAACGTAGAAACCCTTCACCTGCATGGGCGGCGGAGATCGATTATAACATGCACATATATATAACTACTATACGTGGGTAGTAATTAATTCATGGAAAATTCTATGGCAAATTATTATGTTTAGTTAATGAGGATATTAGGTGGTGTAAGATTAAGATATAATGGAATGACTGGTTAAAAAGGATAATGGACGATTAAAAAGGATGTGTACCAAAACACACCAAATTAAGGAGTGCACCCTAGAAACACCCTTAATTCATAAATTAATTAAACTTATGATCGTTACTCGATCTGCCTTAAAACATGATAAAAGAAATTATGGTAAATGGGATTAAAACATGATAAAAGTTCACTTTTCATGTTTGACCATGCAAGTAGATCGAAGGTACGTGCGTGGAACTCACGAGGAGAGCAAAAGTGTGGGCGAGGATAGCAGGAAAGTCGGTGTAGAATCTGAGAGAGGAAGTCACACAGTCCATGTTCTCGTCGCCTCGCCGTGTCATCTCTTGCCCATAACCAAACAGCGCTACCCGGTAACATACCATATATACCATCACCTGCATGCATATATTCATATAAATAAATTACAATCCGTATATGAAAACAATGTAGGGGGAAAGTTCCCGAAATAGGACTAAAAACAGTTTGAAAATTCCAAAATAGGACTGTCATGTATTTTATTCCCAAAATAGGACTAATTACTGTAATGTTTAGAAAAAATACTGTCATGTTTGAAGTCTGGTATCGCTAAAACTTGACAGTAATTAGTCCTATTTTGAGAATAAAAACATGACGGTCCTATTTTGGAATTTTCATACTGTTTTAGTACTATTTGGAGTAATATTCTCTAATATAATTGAAGTAGCTAGTGACTTGCGAGAAAAGCAATGTAGGGATTGTGGCGGAAGAAAGCATAGACGAAGAAAAGGAGGAGGAAGAGGTAATAGCAGAGTGAGCAGACGGCGGCTTTATGGCAGAAGAGCGACCACTCCACCGTCCTTCTGCCTGATCTCGCTGCGGTTGCTCCCAACCAGTATACCGCGTAGCACGCTGCTTGCTCCCCTATTATGCTCATCAACATTCTGGATCCATGCAGCATGCACACGTACATAACATCTCATTTCTATAAATTGGTTTGATTAATTAAATAAATCCTTACCTGTGGTCAATGTTCACAAAAGGTCGAAAACATGGGACGATACAAGTCCCCATGAAAAATGTAGCAGTGATCAGATACCCAATCTTCTTCGCCTGTATATACCCAATCTCTATATGTGAGTTAATAGTTTTTTTAATACGTACTCCCTCCGTCCCTTAAAACTTTGCACAAACTTCAACCACACAGTTTTTACTTTATTATTCTTCGT